ACACAGAATCGTTACTCAGGGACACAGAATTGTTACTCAGGGACACAGAATTGTTACTCAGGGACACAGAATCGTTACTCAGGGACAGACACAGAATTGTTACTCAGGGACAGACACAGAATTGTTACTCAGGGACACAGAATCGTTACTCAGGGACACAGAATCGTTACTCAGGGACACAGAATTGTTACTCAGGGACACAGAATTGTTACTGAGGGACACAGAATTGTTACTGAGGGACACAGAATCATTACTGAGGGACACAGAATTGTTACTCAGGGACACAGAATTGTTACTCAGGGACACAGAATTGTTAATCAGGGACACAGAATCGTTACTCAGGGACACAGAATTGTTACTCAGGGACACAGAATTGTTACTGAGGGACACAGAATCATTACTGAGGGACACAGAATCATTACTGAGGGACACAGAATTGTTACTCAGGGACACAGAATTGTTACTCAGGGACACAGAATTGTTACTCAGGGACACAGAATCGTTACTCAGGGACACAGAATCGTTACTCAGGGACACAGAATCGTTACTCAGGGACAGACACAGAATTGTTACTGAGGGACACAGAATCGTTACTGAGGGACACAGAATCGTTACTGAGGGACACAGAATCGTTACTCAGGGACACAGAATTGTTACTCAGGGACACAGAATTGTTACTCAGGGACACAGAATCGTTACTCAGGGACACAGAATCGTTGAATTAAAGAGTATGTCAGACAACACGCAGAGGAGTGGCAGAGGAGGCAATGTTTCAGGAGGGAGCAGACGTGGCAGCAGAGGAAGGGGTCGAGGCAGCACTAGTCGCAGCCAGAGGCCAGTGCTCCCGGTGTCATCCAGCGGTCGTGTCTCCACCGACAACCCTGCCGTCATCGATTGGTTGGCTCGGTCGTCTTCCTCTTCCCAGGTCACCTCTGACACCTACAGCCAATGGTCGGTGGGTACGTCAGACACAACCGTTAGTTGGCATGGCCCGGGAGCAAGCCCACTGAAATCACGTGTCCTCTACCTGCCCCTGTCCTTTGGTGTTCCCTCACCAAGCGAAGTATCGCATGCTGTGGGCTCAGCCCCACTGTACAGTGAGGAAGAGCTAACAGAGGGCGGTCAGGAACGGGGGGAGACATCCGCCTCTTCAGCAGCCAGGCAAAGAAGTACTGGCGAGGAGAGTGGCTCGGTAGCCGGTCTAGAGACAGGTCTGCCTCCTGACCCACACGCAGCCGAGGGGGCTAGTAGTGAGGCGGAGACCCTAATTGATGATGATGAGGCTGATCGCACTTGGCAGCCTCGTCGTCATCAGGCTATTGCTTCCGCATCATCAGGAGAAGAGGGTGCCAGCTTGGCAGCGAGCAAAACAGTCGGTGGGTTGCCCAGGAGGCAGCAGGGTCGCAGCAGTGTCAGTGGAGGCAAACGGCCACGGAGTAGAGCACCAGCTCCACTGCAGCCTACCACCACGGCCAGTAGTGGTGCCGGTGTGCACGGAGGAAGTAGCAGTCAGCCAGTGAGGAGTAGCGGGGGCAAAGTTTTCTACTCGGCGGTGTGGCAATTTTTCGTCAAGCCGCCCGAGGAAGTAAACGTAGCCGTATGTTGACTATGTGGCCAGAAAGTCAAGCGTGGCCAGGGGGCCCATGTTGGGACTACAGCGTTGCGTCAGCATATGCAGCGTCGCCATTCGGTGGCCTGGGAAAACCGTGATAAAGATACGGCGGTTCTGCCTGCCCCAGCCCCCGCTCCATCACCCGCTCCATTACTTGCTCCGTCACCCGACGTCAATCGCCCTCTATCAGCCAGTCAAGGCTCCAACACCTCTGCTGAGGGGAGTTGTCGCTCGTTGGCATCTTCCGCTCGTTCAGATGCTCCTTCTCCTGCTACTCCTCTTCACGGATTCCGTCAGCAGTCTTTCTTGGAATCCGTTTCCAAGAGACAACAGTTTGCAAGCACGCACCCGACGGTGCAGAAGCTGAACGTCCTCCTGTCCAAGTTGCTGGTGCTGCAGTCCCTCCCTTTCCAAGTGGTGGACTCAGCACCTTTCCGAGAAATGATGGCTTGTGCCGCGCCGCGGTGGAGAGTGCCAAGCCGGCGTTTCTTCGCCAAAAAGGCAGTGCCAGCCCTGCATTCACATGTAGAAGAGATGGTGGGCCAGTCTTTGAGCATGTCGGTCTCTGCCAAAGTGCACGGCAGCGCCGACGTGTGGAGCTGTAACTACGGTCAGGGACAGTACATGTCATTTACGGCCCACTGGGTGAACGTGGTGCCGGCACAGCCGCACCAGCAACTTGGACAGGTCACGCCGCTTTTGCCTCCACGTTTGCACGTCCTTGGTCCAGCAAAGATGTCCGCCTCTACCACCTCTTCTTCCGCCGTGTCCTCAGCCGCCACCCCCGTGCCAAGTCCCATTACCCGACCGGCATATCACATGTGCAGGGCGCAACGGTGTCACGCTGTGCTGCACCTGGTATGCCTTGGCGAACGTAGTCACACAGGGGAGGAACTTCTGAGTGTAATGAACAGAGAAATCGACAGATGGCTGTCTCCGCGCAAACTGAAAATCGGAACCATGTTGACCGACAACGGAAAGAACATGGTGTCTGCTCTGCGTCAAGGAAGGTTGTGCCATGCGCCATGCATGGCTCACGTGTTCAATCTGGTTGTCAAGCGGTTCCTAAAATCCACCATCCTACTGCAAGACATCCTTAAAATGTCACGTAAACTTTGCATGCATTTCAGCCATTCCTACACCGCAAAGCACACCCTCCTTGAGCTGCAGCGGCAGAACGGAATTCCACAGCATCGCCTGATCTGCGACGTTGCAACAAGGTGGAATTCAACCCTACATATGTTAGACCGCCTTTACAAACAGCGAAAAGGCCATCACTGATTTCCTGATGTTACAAGCGGATAAAGGTACTCCCCTGTGTAACTTAGATGTCAGCCATTGGCAGCTCATGCGTGACACCTGCCGCTTGCTCAGGCCCTTTGAGGAGGCCACGCTATTCGTGAGTCGGCAGGACTATGGGATGAACGACGTCATTCCTCTGTTGCACGTCCTGGAACAAATGCTGTTAACAATGGCTGGTCAGGGTGCGGTAGACGTGGCGCACAGATCTCAACGCCACATGACCCCTGTGGGGGCAGGACAGGAAGAAGAGGAGGAGGTAGAGGAGGACATTGGTGCTCAGGAATTATTGAGTGAAATGGGTGGTTTTTCCACTCAGCGGACAGGAGTGGAGGAGCAGGAGCATCTGGTAGAGGAGGAGGAGGAGACAGAGGACCCAGACGCACCGTGGCAGTATGCTGTGGAGATGGAGGCAGGGAGTCCCTCGCATTCCTTGGCACAAATGGCCCATAGCATGCTCGGTTGCTTGCGTAGCGACAGCCGAATAATAACCATCAGACAGAGGGATGACTTTTGGCTGTCCACCTTGTTGGACCCTCGCTACCGTTCAAAAATGGTGGCCTTTTTCACACCTGCTGAGAGGGAGGCCAAAATAAATTACTATAAAAACCACCTATGTAGTCAGTTGGTCTCTGCCTTTCTGCGCCAACGTCCATCCTCAGACACTGTGGGCCCTGTGCGCTCGCGTTCCGCTGCCATGGCAGCAGGGGAGGGGTGGGGTGGTAGGAGCAGTGGCAGCTCCACCAGCAGCGGCTGCCTCAGTCTGCAGTCGATGATGAGTAGCTTTCTTCACCAGCGCAGTGAGGAAACTACTAACCAGCCGCAGCAGCAGCAGCATCAGGTGGACCTGGAGCAGGACCTCAAACAACAGGCTTGTGCCTACTTGGACAGCACCCTGCCAACCGAGGTAGACAATCCCCTTGACTACTGGGCAACGAAACTTGACCTTTGGCCCCAACTAGCTGAATTTGCCCTTGAAAGGCTGTCATGCCCGGCCAGTAGCGTGGCATCGGAGCGCGTGTTTAGTGCGGCAGGAGGTATTGTAACTCCGCGGAGGACACGACTGTCCACCCAAAGTGTGGAGAGACTCACGTTTGTGAAAATGAATCAGGCGTGGATTAGTCTGGATTTCAAACCACCAGTTCCTGACACAACTGACTAAATCCGCCATGAATCATGCCCCAAACATGTTATTATTTTTAACATAGGCCTCTGTATGGCCTTCAATTTAAAGCTGCTTACGCTTCGCCACTCTGCCATGGGCCCCTGTACCGCCTCCTCTTGCTGCTGCCAGGTCCAGAGTGTGTCATGGGTCCCTGTACGGCCTCCCATTGCTGCTGTCTCCATCGCCACACTCTGCCATGTGCCACTTTCAGGTCTCCTCACACTGCTGGTGGGTTCCATTTTGTCATAGGGTGCTGGCAGATTACGGGCCTCCCATTGCTGCTGCCATGGGCCCGTAATCTGCCATGGGCCCCCGTACCGACTCCTCATGCTGCTGCCAGGCCCGTAATCTGTCATGGGCCCCTGTACCGCCTCCTCATGCTGCTGCCAGGTCCAGAGTGTCTGTCATGGGTCCCTGTACGGCCTCCCATTGCTGCTGTCTCCATCGCCACACTCTGCCATGTGCCACTTTCAGGTCTCCTCACACTGCTGGTGGGTTCCATTTTGTCATAGGGTGCTGGCAGATTACGGGCCTCCCATTGCTGCTGCCAGGCCCGTAATCTGCCATGGGCCCCCGTACCGACTCCTCATGCTGCTGCCAGGCCCGTAATCTGTCATGGGCCCCTGTACCGCCTCCTCATGCTGCTGCCAGGTCCAGAGTGTGTCATGGGTCCCTGTACGGCCTCCCATTGCTGCTGTCTCCATCGCCACACTCTGCCATGTGCCACTTTCAGGTCTCCTCACACTGCTGGTGGGTTCCATTTTGTCATAGGGTGCTGGCAGATTACGGGCCTCCCATTGCTGCTGCCAGGCCCGTAATCTGCCATGGGCCCCCGTACCGACTCCTCATGCTGCTGCCAGGCCCGTAATCTGTCATGGGCCCCCGTACCGACTCCTCATGCTGCTGCCAGGCCCGTAATCTGTCATGGGCCCCTGTACCGCCTCCTCATGCTGCTGCCAGGTCCAGAGTGTGTCATGGGTCCCTGTACGGCCTCCCATTGCTGTGCCAGGCCCGTAATCTGCCATGGGCCCCCCGTACCGACTCCTCCTCTGCCATTGCTGGGCTGTCTCCATCGCCACACTCTGCCATGTGCCACTCGCCACTCTTCAGGTCTCCTCACACTGCTGGTGGGTTCCATTTTGTCATAGGGTGCTGTATGGCCTCCCATTGCTGCTGCCAGGCCCGTAATCTGCCATGGGCCCCCGTACCAACTCCTCATGCTGCTGCCAGGCCCGTAATCTGTCATGGGCCCCTGTACTGCCTCCTCATGCTGCTGCCAGGTCCAGAGTGTGTCATGGGTCCCTGTACGGCCTCCCATTGCTGCTGTCTCCATCGCCACACTCTGCCATGTGCCACTTTCAGGTCTCCTCACACTGCTGGTGGGTTCCATTTTGTCATAGGGTGCTGTATGGCCTCCCATTGCTGCTGCCTCCACCGCCACACTGTGGCTCTACACTCTGGTTTTGGCCCCGTGACTGCCCAAATGAGTGAAGTGTGCGGTGATTCTAAGATCGACGGCACTCATCTGCATGTCATACTGACTGACAGTATTATTTCTCTTCCCCAGCAGACTCCAAGGGCATTTAAATTAAAGGTACAGTGTTCTGCACTAATATAAAGGCTCTCTGAAGCCTAGAAACACCCTTTTTATAAGTTAAATTCGCAGCAAATATATTCGACTCGAATCGAATTTATTCCGCGAATTCGCCGAATCAGCCGAATCGAATTTTTGAATAATTCGCTCATCTCTAATTCTGACAAAGGGGGGAACTGACTTGGTGTTACTGACCTCCCCAGTGACACCAATACAGTGATCAGTTCTAATAAAAAGCACTGACACTGTACTAATGGCACTGGGCAGGAAGGGGTTAACATGTGGGGCGATCAAAGGGTTAACTGTGTACTGTTTTACAGTGTATGCTGTGTGTTTGTGCTTCACTGTAAGCACACTGCTATGCATGGCCCTGCTATGCAAAGCCATGCTTAGCACAGTGCAGTAGCTGACAGGGGAGAGAACTGTTTTGTTTACTTAGTTCTCTCCCTCCATCTGTAATCCTGCGCAATCACCGGGTGCCGGCGAGTAATCACCGGCTGGGACCCTGTGATTGACAGCCGAGGCCGCGAACAGTTGCGCGGGTAGGGCGCGACCGCAGCACACATGCACCCCCTACCCAGATATGCAAAATCACGTATATATATGTGATTTTGCACACCCCTGCCACCCTGTAGCAGTATATCTGCTATAGGGCTGCAGGAAAGAAGTTGAGCAGTATTCAAATTGCTGCTACTTTTTGCTCTGGTACATGCACCTCGGCTTGTGCCCAGCCTCCATACCATTTGTTTGACAACGCCTTGCCTATTATCTTAGAAAATGACCATTACTTTTCTTTAACATTTGGATCCCATTAACTTCAGTGGGGTATGGATTAGGCACTCAGGCATTCGCTAGTTCTCGAACTTACCCTCTGTCTGAAACCCAGTTCTTTGGCGATTCACTACTTATCAACAAATCAGTCGTGGCTGCTGTGCCATAAAGTTACACGACTCTAAACAAGGCAAGTCAGTTTATTCTGATATTCTGAGTTTTAGATCCGCAATGAATGTATTGAATGTCACTAAAACTGGGTTTAAAGGATAACAAACCTCCAAAACATAAATTAACCATATTGCAGCTAACCACGTCTTAGATGTGGTGGCTGTACTAGTTACCTTTTTTCAGATTAAGAACATTTTCAGCATGTGCAGAATCTTGCCTGAGATGAAGCATTCTTGTCCTTTCTGTGAGCTGACTTGAAACTGCAATCAATATTATCTTCCTATTGTATACAGTACTAGCCACCCTTCATGTAGTGGGAATGAGAAGAGGAAGACATGTTTGAAGTCCAGTCTGGATGACTTCCATGGTTTTCTCCACAGATACAGTGGAGGAGAAATTGTAGCCACCTTAGGACAGGAAGTGTGTTATTTGCAGGATTACCAGGTAAAAATAAAGGGAAAATTAAGAAAAATTAACAAAGCCGCCACATCTAGGGACTGGTATATATACATTTTTGGTTTTAGATTTCAATACAATTTAATGTTGTTGCAGTTTTGGAGGTGATGAAGGCAGAAACACTTCATGGTGTTTATGTCTATACCTGTCTATTGCCAATCTAACAGTATGTATCTAATAAATCATGATTTCCAATTTCAGACTGTGTGGTACAGTTCCTATTTGGTGGGGGTGTGATGTCTATTATTGCCCAGACCAACCTGTATTCAAATATATTTTTGTCGTCCGTATGTGCCCACCGTAAGTACTCATAACATATAGAAATGTAAAATAAAACCTTTATTTTAAAACAGTATAAAAATTCCTTTGACTGGTTATATTTGCACCCAAAAATATCCAGTATTTTCAATATATAAGTCAAGCAAAGAAGTGAGATCTGGGAACCACTGGTGATAAAAGCCTATATAAAGCAATATCCTTTATTGTACCAATGCCTAAAATTCAGAAACACATATTGAACTAAAATGTAATTTACCGTCCCTCTCAGCAAGATATCAAAAGGATATAAAATAGAGACAATCCATGTTACAAATGCTTGAGGGGGCAGTGAATTTAGGTGTGTGTCTGAATTTTGAATTTTAGGTGTTGGGTTAACCACTTCCTGCCCATAGGCTGTTTATATATGGCCTCAGCTTGAAGTGGTTATACCAGGATCATAACACCAGAGACAGTCATGATCCTGGTATGTATTTTTTCAGCACTATAAACCAAAAATGCTACTTAATTTATTTTTAATAGTCAAAAACAAACTCACCCATCCATCCATGTCTCCATGCTTTATTTTGCTGAAAAAGCACTGTGAAAATACCCCCTAGTATTTTTGGCTGTGGCCATCTTGAGTAAGGGCAGATGATTCATGCAGCATTTACTTCCTGGAATCCATCTTCCCTTACCTCAGGCATAAATCTATAAAAGCCATATATAGGTAATGGGACTTTGGATATACCTCCACTGGTTGTACATAAACAAAAATTCAAAATGATTAAAAGATTAACATATTTTTATTTTTACATTTAAAAACATACAGTGTCCATGTAAAACAAGTAATATATGTAATCAGATGCCACTACTACCAATTGTTTTGCCATATAAATAGTGGGAGCACTAAAGTTGTGGATTCCTCAGAGATCACTTAACATAGGTCAACACATTTCGTGGGAGACCCTCTTCATCAGAACATTAGATCACAGATCTAGATAAAGCAGTCACTAAAAACAATGATAAAAAAGACAAATTAGAAATTTTACAAAAAAGGTACTCAATCCCTTATTTAATACAGTAATAATCAAACTAATCCATATAGCCTAAAGAGAGGGAGCAAAGGAAGGGGTGTGGGAGAGGAGAAAAAAAAGGGAATATTTAACTTCCATACAGGAAATAAACATACCTAAAGTGTTAGTAAACCCATGACCCTTCATTCACTATATCCAGTTTTCTACAGCTAAATAGCTTTTCTCATCAGCGATATATAGCAGTCTTGTGACTTCTATCACTGTCCAGCCGAGCACTGGTTAATCTTGTAGGAGGAGTTTTCATTCTCCTCTGACTGTGCTATGAGACTGCATAACCTCTGACCCTCTGTCTGGACAGTGCTGAATGGCCTTTGCCAATCACAAGCACCCTCCTAAAAAAAAAAAAAAAAAGACTCTCTATCAATACACTTCAAACAGAGCATGTGCAGACTTCCTACTGCTGCTCTAACTATGGCAGATAGATTGGGGACAGCAAAAGAAGGGGCAGATCAGAGAAGACAGGATCAAACAGTCTTTTTGCACAATGCTGATGATTAACCCCTTAGGTTCTACAGTGAGTATAACAAGCATGCTTTACTGCATATACAGATTGATTTTACTGTTGAGTTTAGTAACACTTTAAGTTAGCTCAGACCTAGTCATTTCTAATATCATTGTAACAAGTCCAATCAGCCCGTGGGGAGACCTCCAACGAGAGACACACTTGACTATGAAAAAACTTGTAAGAAAAAATAATCACTACCAAGAAACTAAATTTAATAATGCTGCCTAATGCTCCTGAATGGAAGCAAACGTGTATACAGCATAACATATACAGTAGAAGTGATATAGAAAAAGTAGGAGTCAAAGATGTGTGTGTGTAGATATATATATATATATATATATATATATATATATAGATATATAGATAGATAGATAGATAGATAGATAGATAGATATAGATAGATATAGATACAGACACACACACAGATTAGCACAACAACAGTGCGTAGAGAGCTTCATGAAATGGGTTTCCATGGTCCGAGCAGCTGCATCCAAGCCTTACATCACCAAGTGCAATGCAAAGCATCGGGTACAGTGATGTAAAGCACGCTGCCACTGGACTCTAGAGCAGTTCTCTGGAGTGACGAATCAGGCTTCTGGCAATCCGATGGATGTGTCTGGGTTTGGTGGTTTCCAGGAGAACAGTACTTGCCTGACTGCATTGTGCCAAGTTTAAAGTTTGCGGAGCGGGGATTATGGTGTGGGGTTGTTTTTAAGGGGTTGGACTTGGCCTCTTAGTTCCAGTGAAGGGAACTCTTAAGACATCAGCATACCAAGACATTTTGGACAATATCATGCTCCCAACTTTGTGGGAACAGGATGTGGGTTGTCCCTTCCTGTTCCAACATGACTGCACACCAGTGCACAAAGCAAGGCCCATAAAGACATGGATGAGCGAGCTTGGGGTCAATTCAACTTGACTGGCCTGCACAGAGTCCTGACCTCAACCTGACAGAACACCTTTGGGATGAATTAGAGTGTAGACTGCGAGCCAGGCCTTCCCGTCCGACCTCAAAAATGCGCCTCTGGAAGAACGGTCAAACATTCCCATGGACGCCCTCCTAAACCTTGTGGACAGCCTTCCCAGAAGAGTTGAAGCTGTTATAGCTGCAAAGGGCGGGCCAACTCAATATTGAACCCTACGGACTAAGACTGGGATGCCATTAAAGTTCATGTGTGAGTAAAGGCAGGCCGACCAATACTTTTGGCAATATAGTTCATATATAAAAGACTGTCCACCATAAATTAAAATCTGCTTACCTCCAAAATGGAAGTAAGTTATAGTCACTCCCGGGCAGTATACATGAATAAGCCAATGAAATTTCCCAATAATAATCAAAAACATGAATGCCTGCAACTAAAGTCAAAATACAACAAAGAAACGCTGATGGTCAAATTCCATCTTGGCAACACCTACAGTATAGCAAAGAGATCACAAAAATGACTTGGTATCAAACAGCACACACTACATTCAGCATCTCACATGGTCTAAAATGTGGTCCAAAATGTAGCGTCACCTTACCTCAGGCATGCAGGCAGGTGGGTGTGCTTAGCTGGGAGAGCTCCTCCTCCTTTCCTGAAGACTCATGGGACATATGACATCATTTGCCTAGGCGTGGAAACCAGGAAGCAACTAGAGAAATGTTAAAAAAAAAAAGTTTGAAACCAATAAACATGATATACTTTCCTATCTATTTATTAATACTAGCAGCATAAGGATTAAAAATATTAAGTGTTGATTGAGAGAGTGAAGTCCCACTTAAAGAAAAG